ATACCCAACTTTTAAGTGCTGTGAGGGCTAAATGAGAAAGTATGAGCAAAACACTCAGCACAGACTTGGCATAAAATGAATAACCAAATAATAGTTTTCGGGAATAATAAAAATGACGATAAAGTAAATATTCAACCCTTTATGTTTACCTAGGTGCTCCTGGCACTCTCAAAGTTGTAGCAAAGAGCAACAAAACAACCACGTCCAAGATGGTAGCTGCCTTCTGGCTATGACACTGAAATTAGAAACTTAGAATGAAGAAACCAGAAACCTCAGAGAAACAGTTATTTCTAGGGATGGGTTGAGGGCCCCAGATTCACAAGTGGAAAGAAAATACAGAATGCATCTGAGGGGTCTTAGTGATAAAGGTGCTAAAAATGGAAGCTGCAGAGATGGTCTTCTTTTAGTTCTATAAACATTCAGGCACAGAGTTTGGAATTTGAATCAATAAAGGATCATCAATACAAACCATAGACCCAGAAAACTGTCATCACTCCCACAATAAAAAACAATCGACAGGAACACTACATTCTAGTTATTGTTGGTTTTCTTCTTCCACCGCTCCTCATGCTAAAAGATCCATCAGAACACAGCCCCTATCTCCTGACAGCTTTCATTGCCCTTTCATTAAGCCTTAGATGGAAATGAGCTTCCAGTATAGCAGACTGTGGACATCATCAGGGACAAGCTGTCCCTTTAGGAGCAAAGGTGGTGAGGCCTGCCTGGAGGTAGGGTCTCTGCCCCTGAGCTGGTGAAGGGCATTTGGTCCCTTTTCTGTCCTTCGCCTCACAAAGATCTATACTGACAATGTCAAGGGTCACAGCCTTGTGGCCTCTGGCCAGGAGAAGCTGAGGTAACAACCTCACAAACACTACCAAGGGAATAATGCCATGTTGCAGAGAGGCAGACAAAGATGGGGTCTCTACAGATCTGACGTGTGTCTTGTGTAGAAATACAAATCACCTAGGGGCAAATCACTAATGTCAGCAGCTTTCCAACGTGGCATTCTCTACTGAGTATGAAAAGATTCCTGCTGCCTGAGAAACTATAATGTAGACAGTAAAATGTAAATGTATGCAAGAAGCTTGCCAGCTTACATAAATAGTCCACTAATATCACCATCAAGAAGGAGATGCCCTGTGGCAGATGGCTGCATGATGGGGGAAGGGAGTGCCTACTAAGGTGCACACGTGCATGTGTGTGTGTGAGAGAGAGAGAGAGAAAGAGAGAGAGAGAGAGAGGGCGAGAGAGCATGTGCACGTGTACACATGCTGGGTGGGGTCTGGACTGGAAACTCTCTGACTGGCACTGTCATCCTCCATTATAAAGGGGCCCCTGAACTGAGCCTGTTGTCCTTCCCTGCAGCCATTGCCCTTAATTCGAACTGAGGCCCTCTGTGGCTACTGCAATCTATTGGATTTTGGCTGTTCGGCTGCCTGCTTTTCTTGCCAACTCCCACCTGCTCTTTACTGGGTAATGTTTTAGTTCTTTTTTTTATTACTTTTTAGTTCCATGGTTATTTTTTAAATGGGAAAAACAATGCAAGAGGGATTTAAAAATAGTATTTATTGACTTTTCTGACTACAAAAATAAGGCAGAAAATTTAAAAAATATAAAAACCCTAAAAGAAGAACCCTAAGTGACAATCTTACTCAAAGATATTCTCATGTTTTTCCTTTTTGTCTTTTCTTCTCCATTCAAACAAATACTTTTATTTATTTACTTTATGTTTTGGGACAGGGTCTCACTCTGACACCCAGGCTGGAGTGCAGTTACCCAATCACAACTCACTGCAGGCTTGACCTCCCTGGGCTCAGTTCCTCCCACCTTAGCCTACTGAGTAGCTGGGACCACAGGTATGCACCACCAAGTCCGGCTAGTTTTTCTATCTTTTGTAAAGACAGGGTTTCATCATGTTGCCCAGGTTAGTAAATGCTATTATTTTAAAAATAGTAGAGGGCATATAATATACTGCTTAGTCACCTGTTTTTTTTTTTTATTTAGTGATGTTCTAGGGAATATTTTTCATTTTACCGGATATTAACTAATAACATTACTGTTAATGTCTGCATATATTTGATCCTATGAATTTGGCATGTTTTATTCAGACAATCTCCTACTGACTACCATCCAACTGGTTTTGGTTTGATTCAGAGTCTCTGGTGAGAAGATCCATGAACAATTGCCAAGATCTAATATGTACGTGCTCACTGGATGATGCCTATTCTTTGTCACAGCCCCCAGCACAGATGGAAGAAGTACACACATTATAAGAGTAAGCTCTTCACTGCAACTGCTCAGGACTCATTTTGAAAAAGAGACAGATCTCTAACAAGATTTTGTAGGCAGGCAAAACAGAGGGCCTATAATTAGGTTATTAGAAAAAAGATGGCTCTGTACTGGTTTACTCCTCTCCAGGAAGGAATCTGGTAGGACTCACCACTTGGGCAAACTTTCTCAAATCAATTCTCTTCACATGACAACGGCAAAGAAGCTGGCAGGGCCAGGGCTTTCCCAACTGTGGTGCGGCGCAAAGGCCGTGGCACATGCTCACATCTCTCTTCTTCTCAATCAGTAGGACTGAAAACATTCTTTGTATACCAGGGCTGGATTTGAACCCGGTACTATATTATGCTTCCATTTTATTTCTTGATCCAGTTAATCCTAAGCTTTTTATAAAATAGTTGTATCAGTCCCATCAAACAACTGAGAAAGTACTAGGATTAATTCAGTAGATTTCTGTAGATTCAAAATAACTGTAGAAATATATTGGTATATATAAAAATATCTCTGTTGGAATTTTCCAATTAAATTATGAAGGATACTCCATAGGCAAGAAACAATTATTCTTATGTGCCCGAGGCCTTGGGAGCTAAGGGGTCATCTGCAGGAGGACACTCAGAGATATCAGAATCCCAAGAGAAAAAGGCATAAATCTTCACAGTTTGTAGAAAGAAAAAAAACTTGGCTCCCTGTCACTACAGCACCTAAAGTACAAGAGTTAAGGGCCCTGTGAGAAGGTTGAGAAATTGCTGGATGCAGGCTATGAGTGGGTCATAAAACTAATTTAGTGGGTTAAAATAATCAAATGAAATAGAAATATTAGAGGCTATCACATGAAGTAAGGGTAATTACTGTTTCATGAACCATATGTATGGGTGTCCGTGTATATGTATATAGATTTGAGTGTGTTCACATGTTTGCATGCATGCATATGCCAAACTACAATACAAAGTATCTTACTGTGGGTCATGATCAAAAGTTTGAAACCTGCTACTCCATGAAAAGCTAGCTATAAAACAAAGTAGTAGGACTATTAAAATTATACACTGATCAATCAATTCTTGATTCTATAAATAGGTACTAGAAGGTGTCACCCAAATTTTAAATGTTCCTTTAGAGATTCTTTTCCTCATGTGAGAAATGGGAAGGCTGACAGAAAATTCCCATCTTAAATGGCTTAAAATAGAATGTCTTGGGTGAAACTTATCCTCAGACCTTGTATCTCCATACTGTGACACAACTTTTAAAGTGCTTACATAAAGGCCACCCTGCCTCAGCAAACAGGAAAATTAGCATTATTATTTTGGTGGGGGTTTGGGGGGACAGGGTCTCACTCTGTCTCCAGGCTGGAGTGCAGTGGTACTGTCTCAGCTCACTGCAACCTCTACCTCTTGGGTTCAAGTGATTCTCCCACCTCAGCCTCCCGAGTAGCTGAGACTACAGGCGTGGGCTGCCATGCCTGGCTGATTTTTGTGTTTTTTGGTAGAGATGGGGTTTCACAATGTTGGCCAGGCTAAATTAGCATTATTTGATATATACGCATGTGATAAACAACTAAACATGGGACTGGAGCTATAAAAAATAATAGCCTAGGCCAGGTGTGGTGGCTTACACATGTCACACCTATAATCCCAGCACTTTGGGAAGTGAAGGTGGGGGGATCACTTGAGATCAGGAGTTTGAGACCAGCCTGACCAACATGGAAAAACCCCATCTCTACTAAAAATACAAAAATTAGCTGGGGATGGCAGTGCATGCCTCTAATCCCAGCTGCTCAGCCAATCGCTTGAACCCAGGAGGTGGTGGATGCAGTAAGCCAAGATTGTGCCACTGCACTCCAGCCTGGGTGGCAGAGGAAGACTGTCTCAAAAAAAAAGAAAAAAAATCAGTTTCTTCAGAGTCTTTGAAATAAATATCTTCTTCTATGTGTGCCATGATGTAAAAAACTTACAAAGTTCTGGTTTATTGAATAAACAGCTATATGAATAACATCTCCTTATCTTCTAAAAATCTGCTAGTGAAGACCCCAGTCATTATTCAATGTTCCTTAAAATCTGAGTTGAAAAAAATCTAAGTGTTCAGCACTGACAAGAACTTTTCTCTCTATAACTTGTATTCTGCTAGATCATGAATATGAATCAACTCGTGTTTTTTTTGTCAAGTGATTTCTGGGAAGCTCAATACTAAATTTTGTGCTCAACTGCATTAGGCTATTACATTTATAGTAATGATCTGCATTGCATCATTGCACTCCATTCTTTTAAGACTTCATTCAATAGTTTTGTCATATCCATATCTTTGAATGTAACTTTTGACTTTTTAGAAGTTAAAAGGTCTGAGTTAAAAATGACAAAGAAAATTTAAGAAAAAGATATGTATATAATTATGAATTGCCTAGTATTACTACTCAACACATTTCCGTAAGAATGGGAAGCTAACAATTAAAATAAAAATCTCCCTAAGAAGAGCATAATTTACCAGCTTAATCTTGTGAACAGTGACTAAAAAATACACATACCCTCTAACTTACTAGTCACTGCATACATTTCTATATGGATTTCTGATTTGAATACTTTCTAAGATGAGTCATGAAATTGCCACGGTTGTAGGTTAAAAATGGCTGAATACTGGCGATCTTATGAAGTTCCACCTGCACAGAAAGAAAGGATTTATTTGCCTGGAGGATATGAATGTATGAACAAAGAGTTCAGTCTTACCTGAATGATCTCAGCATCCGATAGGACTTTCCTAAATCAGATACTCGTCTGCAGAATGGACCCACAGCCAACTCCATCTGAAATATTAAAAGATATTCCATTGATTTTAATGTCAGAATCTTTAGGGGAATTTGGAACAGACCTGGATCAGAGAAAGTTGTACCTGCAGTAAACTTAATTTTATCTGGACTATGAAGCAAGTTTGGAAAGCCAACTATATGTATTAAAAGGCAAGCACTTATGTAACTTTTGCATTTATTTATCATTGAAAAATAAGGAAGGTTTTCAAGACTGCATGTGTATACTTTAGGTATTATAAGTCTTTTTATATTCAATATAAATGATGACAATTTTTATCAGTTGGTGTGGCTCAAGTAATTACAGGCACTCACTCTGGAGCTTTTAGTAGCACATCTATATCCGCATTCCAAATGCTCATACTAGTTACTAGTTTGTGACCCTTGATAAGTTCCTTCACCTCTTTAAGTCTCAGGTCTCTCGTCTATAAAATGGAGATAATAATACCTACTTAAAAGAATCACACAAATTAAATAGATAATTCCACAAAGCTTTATGTGCATAGCATATAAGTGCTGTTGTCAGGAATTATCAGAGTAATTATTAATAAATTAATATGCTACCTAACTCAAGAATTTAGCAAATCTTGCTTTCACTTCTCTTTATTTTCCTCCTTTGACTGGAAATTCTACTTGTCACTAATTAGGCTACCTGTTCTTTATCTACCAAGTGCATATGCAGACTTTTTGCATATGTGCTATCCAGGTGATAGACTGCTTCTCCACTCTTGCTATAAATAGCGCCCTGGTAACAAATGGTTTAGAAAATGGTTGAGAATAGGCTGCTCCCTGGTAATACAGCACCATTCTTCAAGAAGCACATATGGAGTAAGGTTTCTGTCCTGCTGGCCACCCTTACAAAAGCTGCTTAATATCTCCTTGCCATGGGTACACTATGGAGACCCAATCTTCAGTCATTCATCTGAAAAACATTCTGATTGCCTTAGTGCTAGGTACCAAGCTAGCAAGAGGATAAGACGATTAAATGATTAGACTGTCTTGCCTTCACTAAATTCACAAATTTAATGAAGAAGGGGATATTTATTTATTCAAACAATATGATTATCAACAAAATCAAAAGTATTTGTGTATATGTCCACATAGTCACATATATAAACACACATACATATATATATACATAATGATTCTTATTAAGCAAAATGTTAAGTGCTACATCAAACTTATGACCTGAGTGTCAAGAGAGAGTTGGAGATAGCTTCCTTGGGATGGTCTTGAGGATGTAGAGTAACCATGTTAATTTTGTTATATAAAAGGAGAAAGTTTAGATCATTTATCCACTGAAAAATAAGAAAAAGGAAGGTTTTCAAGACTGCATGGATTGCATACTGTATGTCCTAGAAGTAAGCCTTAGATGGCTGGAAAACTAGAAAATGCAGAATCATAAATAAAAAGATAAAAATTTAAGGAAGAAAAAGGATTCTTGCCAACAAAGCAAAACAGAACAGCTGTGAACCAGTGTTCCCAACTCAAAAGATAGTAGATGATAGGCTGTTATTAAGAACCTGTTTCATTTATTCACTGGGTGGGAATTTCTGGTTTCTTTCAGTATGTGTCACTTTACACCGAGCACAAAGAAAAAATGTGATTCTCATTGTATCTTTGATTTGATAATTCCATTCAAATACCTAAATATATATATGTGTGTATATATAAATATATATACTTATATATATACATACATATATACATATATATGTATATATACACATATATACATATATACACATATACATATATATACATATACACACATATATATACATATATAATGGTTTTCTACATAATGAAATTATGTGATATATTTTTCGTGAAATGTTTGTATCAACTTTTTCTCAACAACTCTAGTGGAATCACTGTCTTCAAAGACAAGCTTTGCCTTAGCACTTGAACAGGACCAAATGTTAAAACAAATACATGGCTAGGAAAAAGTTACGATATCAGAAAATATATGATCTCAAATGGCTGTAAATGTATGATTATGCAAAAGATTTCTATGCCATAGGCCAATTTCAAAATGTTAAATGTTTAAAACAATTTTTTTATACATAAAGGACCTCTAGGGTATTGCAAATCATTTTCTTCTTCCAGAATACCATTAAACAATAAAGGCCATGTTTTAAAGGACAGGAATGTTCCTTTTAGAGTGAGTGAATCTGCCATTAGCAGTGGCTACAAAATGACATGTGCAACTGCTTCTCTCCAGCCCCCATGTGGAGAGAATGAGCGGTCAGCTGCAGGCACGGTGAGCTAATCATAGCTGTTCCATCCCTACCACAGACATTTGGTTAACCACAGGGCTTCTTTGTATACTCCTAGGGCATTCCTGCCCTGACATTGTTCAGGAGAAGAAAAGACCATAGGAATTAGAACAAAAATAAAATTTTGATTGTCTTCTTTTCTTTTCTAAATTAATATTTTCAGGCACAAAGTGAAATAGATATAAATGTATACTTAAAGGGCACCAGAAGACCTATAACTAGAAACTGCTAGAAGTGCCACTAAATAATTTAATACCAACTTCAACAGCCACTCTTTCCTTCAGGTAAGAAAATAAACTGAGGGGTGGAGGGGGGATTATGTGCTTCAGAGGACACTGTGTGCAAGACCCCAAAGAGATTCAGAATCAGCAGAACTCCAGTGCTGTGGAAAGGCTTAGTGATTTCAGAACTACTGTGTGATCAGTGTAGACGCTGAGACCATGTGGTCACAGCAGGGACTTAATTACCTGTAGGAAACCACCTCATGCCCATGACCTGGATTCCTAAGAGGGCTGAATGTCAGGCACTTCTCTTACCACGATCCCTCCAGATGGCACCCTACAACTACTTTCTCTTTCCAGCGCTGGTGCCCGTGGGGAGAAGTTAGGATTCTTAAAGAAATCCTTAAAATATATCATTATCTGTCTTTGCAACTGCATTTTATGGCAAATAACTAGTATTCCCTAACCTGGTCTATTGGTCCTTCTTGAGCTTTCTCTTTTTGTTATTTATGCTAGAATAGCAGGCACTTTATCACAAGAACAGTTTTCAAACCCATGGAGTATTTTTTATTTCGGTGACCTCAGTGGCTTTAATTTTGAATATGAATTGATAGAACTTTCAATAATAAGGCAGTTGAAAAGCCCTCTAGTCCCCAGTTGGTGCCTGTAATGAATATAAATGTTAGGGTAATGCTATTTAAATGTTTTGACTGACCCCAAAAAACACTTTCAACCAAGTGTGATGCTGTAAGCCAACACGAAAGTGCAGTTGTGGCAAGAACCAAACCAAATGAAACAAAACTCTGAAATTCAAATTTTAATTTAAAAATTAGGTGGGGGAGATCATGTAACAGTGGAACAATATCTGCCAAAGATACTGATCACAGATACGATTAATTATGATAGAGCTTCCTTCTGTCTTTTCTGTGCCCATGATCCACAGGACTGGAGCCATCCCCAAGGTGAGTGCCAGGATGTTTTGAAACTGGGACACACTGTACAGGGGTGAACAAAAGAGCCTGCTTTTCAATATCACAATCCTTGCTGCAACCAAATGTCACTGCAGGGCTAACAATGAGTAAATGCTGTGTGTATAAATGCTTCTTCTATATTTAAAAAACAGAATACAGAGGCTTTTGAGCATAAGTTAGTAATAATGACTGATGGGTTTCATTTACCTTAAGGGAAGGGACCCAGAAAAGTTTGGCTTATTGGGTAACATGTCTAAAAAAAAAAGGGATGCCAAATAACATTTTGAATAATGCAGTTTTCGGTAGGTTGAAGCTCACCCCTGCCACTGGATGCTATGTATTTTGAGCAGGTGTTAGCTGCAGTAGCAAGGGTTAAAGGACAATACTTTCCATCTTTCAAGGCCCATAAGGGAACATATTAAAATAAAAAACAAAAACAAGCCTCTCTCCTACAGCACTCTCATTTTGGCTATCTCCTGCTCGGCTGCCACTCTAATTGGACTTGAAGTGCTGCCTCCAGGAAAGTGACTCAAGAACCAGCTGGAGCAGAATGCAAATAAGCTGGTAGGGGAGGGAGCCCAGGGAAACAAGATGAAACAAAAAGAAAAACAAAGTTAAGGAGGAAAGGCGAAGAGGAGAACAGAGACCATCTGAGCATAGTTTACAATTTTTTTTTTTTAACAAATACAAGGTTTAATTTTTATCTTGAAAACCATCATAAGGATCAGGTTTTCAACAAGCAATCTAAAACCCCAGTAAGGGACAAATAAGATACTATTTACAAATAATTTTCTCTAGGCTGAGTTTAGCTGTAAAACAAAGTAAAATGTACAGGTGCCTAAGAATGAAGTTCATAAAATGTAAAAGGTAAAAAGAGTCATATTCACGGTAACATTTAATTTCTGTTTTTATGTTATGGCTACTACAAGCATATTTTCTAAATGAAGCCTCTTTTCTATGGTCTAATGGCCTCAGGAATATTATTTGGAGAAGAAAATGACTAACTGCTGCATCAGTTTGCAATGAACCTGGCACTTGAAAGTTTAGGTTTGTGTTACCTGTTCCTTTTTAGAAAGCGTTTCAAGTCAGAAGGGCATCTGACATCTGCTTGACTTGACACAGGCAGTCTGCCCAGGTCCTTTCCTCCATGCAGAAATAATGAAGCAAGACACTCTCCCGGATACACACAGAATAAATATTGACATTAACATTTATCTTTATAAGCAGGGAGGACCTGGCAAACAGTTGTGAAGAATTCATTTCAATTACTCTTTAGACTAGTAAAGCTAACAGCTTTGAAAAGCTTAAAAATTATTTTTACCAGCTGGGTGCAGCGACTCAGAGCTGTAATCCTAGCACTTTGGGAGGCTGAGGCATGTGGATCACGAGGTCAGGAGTTCAAGGCCAACCTGGCCAATATGGTGAAACCCTGTCTCTACTAAAAATATAAAAATTAGCTAGGTCTAGTGGTCTGTGCCTGTAGTCCCAGCTACTTGGGAGACTAAGGCAGAAGAATCGCTTGAACCTGAAGATGGAGGTTGCAGTGAGCCAAGATTGTGCCACTGCACTCCAGCCTAGGCGACAGAGCAAGGCTCTGTCTCAAAAAAACAAAAATGTTTTTTTGCCCTTGGTATGCTATACAAAAAATAACAATCACCTTTGTTTCTGAATCTTTTAATAAAAGCATGTTTGAAGTTTGTCTTCACTGCCTCTGATACTAATGAAAGGCTTTTAAAAATCTGTCTGATGGATAAAGAAAAAAACCCCTTTCTATAAGACCTAATAATGTTTTCCTATTTTAATGTCATTCTATCTCACACACATATCAGATAGGTTGAAATGATTTCAAAGCTAGCCACAGAGAAGAACTGTATTCTACCTGATAGAGGGAGAATAAATAATCAGACTCTGTCTATCTGGCCTACTGTGCATTTAAATGAATGGGAGCACTGCCTAGGAATGGTGACATGGTAACAAGCAGTCTCTTTTCACTGTATGAAATATGATTTCACTGCCTACATTATTGGCCAGCAATGTCTGACCTGTTGGGACAGTAAAACAGTGAGAAAATCCCATATTAAGGAAAAACGGGAAGTGTTGCTTTCCTATGGAATGAGCTGTTTCACCGTAACCTTGACATACCAAAGAGAGGGATGATTATTTTGTTAAAAACGTATCTGGTATAAAAGTATCTTTAAACTCTTTTTTTTTTTTTTTTAAACCATTTAGGCTTAAATGGGCTAACTTTTCTTCATGCTACAACTCTTTAAAAACACTGATGAAAACACAGTCTTTCATTTAATAGCTAATATTGAGGCCCAAACCTTTTTTCTTTTGTAGCAATCTATCAATTTACCTGTGCAAAATCAGCAGCAAGTCGCATTTTCCCACCTTCACCAAGAGGTCTTATGAGACTGGCATGGCGGATAAAAAGTTCAATTGCTCTTTGGGCAATAGCCTCAGTGTTGTCAAAGACAAAATCCAAGCATTCAAAGTGTTTAAAATAGTCACTCATAACTCTGGCAATGAATCCTTGTAGCTCCTTCATGTACAGAGAACAAGGAACATCAGGTCTTCCTGAGCTGGGTAATGACCTGTAAAAGAAAAAGTAGTCCTTTTCAGCACTGATGCACTAAAATGTACTCTTTGATTTTGTACTCCTCTTCCCACCAATGCTGCTATTTAAATCTTTTGTAATGTTTTCCCTTAATGGTATAAAAGTAATTATTTATTTTTTATAAGTGTTCACAGAAAACAATGTTTAAATTACATTTTAAAAAGTGGTTTAGATGCTAGGAGAATTACTGAAGGAATTTTAGAATTCATTTATCTAAAGATTATTAAGAATGAAATAGACAACTATCTGTCTTGGATGAATCATACAAGTACCACTCTCTGGCCTCTCAAGGTCCCTCCCAGCCTCTTAACTCTCAATCCATTCACATGTTTTGCCTGGTAAATGAATGTATCAATAATAAATCCTTAAATAGCATTTTACACTCTGCAATGGCAGAAAATACTGCTTTCCCTATGCAATTCTTGGCAAAGATCTCTCTGCTCTTATGTTATTTAATCTGATCCGTCCAACAGAATTCTGACTGTGGAAATGGTTATGTAACAGTACACATGGTATGCAATTTTTTCCTCCAGATGATGAGGTTTGGAAAGGCTTTAATTTGGATCAACAAATGATGCCAGCTGATGCCCCATGAAACACTATTTATAATTTATAAATGTTTATAATTGCTCTTTAAGGAATATATTAAAAGAATGTCAAATACTTATAGGAAAGAGATATACCAAAACTAACGCCTGATATTTTCTAATAAATGAGATCACTGGCTACATCATGCTGAATCTTTTTCAAAAAGCAAGTTAAGTGGTTCCATATTCTGAGAATGACGTAGAGAAATTGGTGATCTACAGAAGAACAACAGCTATGACTAAAATGCTTAGAGCAAAAGAATAAGTTGAACTTAGCTGTCTTCAAATACAGCAGTGGTTACTATAAATAGGATGCTAACTAGAGGTCCATCGCTTCCAGAAGCATATAGAGATGGAGAAAGCAAGCCTGTGTTCCAGCAGGAAGGGATTTCATAAAGGTATAAGACTGTGCCAGCAACAGCAAGGCTGCTAAAGGGTGCATGGAGGAACGTTTTTGTTAGCAGTATCATCACATGGTGGAGTGCTGCTTGGGTACAGGGAGCCTTAGTAAATGATGGCTATCTTCATGTGGGGTTTGGTTTTGCCAGATTGATACACCTGCATAACCTAGCTTTACTCTAGGTTTGCCACTGCACAAGGCTAGGCTGCAAAAACAAACAAACAAATAAAAGAAACCCCCCTTCCCGAAAATGGTGCCAATCTCTTTCATATTTTTTTCATTTTTAATTTTGATGAATTGTAATCATATACAGTTATGGGATACAGTAATTTCACATGTATACCTATGAAATGATGGAATCAATGAAATTAGCATACCCATCACCTTAAATACTTATCATTTATTCCACCTAACTGCAACTTTGTACCCTTTGAGGTACAAAGGGCACCTTTCTATTCCTTCCAGCCCCTAGCTGCTGCTGACTGCCATTCTACTCTGTTTCTATGTGTTCAATTGTTTTAGACAATGGATATAAGTGAGGTCATGTGGTCTTTGTCTTTCTGTGTCTGGCTTACTTCACTTAGCATAATCTTCTCTAGGTTTATCTATGTTGTTGCAATTAACAGAATTCCTGTCTTTCTGAAGGCTGGATGGTATTCCTTTGTGTATGTATACCATATTTTCTTTATACATTTATCAATCTAAATGTTGGTGGCCATTTAGATTGATTCCATAACTTGGCTATTCTAAGTAATGCTGCAATGAACGTGGAAGTGCATGTATCTTTCTGACATACTGATTTCAAGTTCTTAGGTTACATGTCCAGAAGCGGGACTGCAGGATCATGTGGTAGTTCTATTTTCAATTTTTGCCAAAATGTCTATACAGTTTTCCATCATGGCTAATTTGCATTCCAACCACAGTATACAAGGGTTCCCTTTTCTGTACATCATCTTTCACACTTGTTATCTTTCATCTTTTTGATAAGTCATTCTGCAGGTGTGAGGTGAAATCTCATTGTGGTTTTAATTTGCATTCCCCTGATGATTAGGGATATTGAACATTTTTTCACGTATCTGTTGGCCATTTGCATTTGTTAGTATGTCTTTAAGAAATGTCTACTCAGGTCTTTGCCTACATTTAAATCAGGTTGTTTTGTTATTGAGTTCCTTACATAGTGTGGATGTTAATCCCCGTATCAGATGTATGGCTTGTAAATATTTTCCACAATCCATAGGTTGTCACTTCACCCTTGTTTTCTTTGCTGTTTAGAAGCTTTTTAGATAAATGTAATATTTGTATATTTTTGTTTTGTAGTCTGAGCTCCCAGGGTCGAATCCAAAAAAATATTCCTCAGATTTTCCCCTTTTCTTCAGTTAGTTTTAGTTTCAGGTGTTAAGTTTTTCATCTATTTTCATTTGATTTCCAATTTCATTCTTCTGTATGTAGATATACAGTTTTACTAATGCGCATTTATTGAAGGAACTGTCCTTATTCCATTGTGTGTTCCTGGCACCTCTGTCAAAAATCAATTGACTGTAAATGTGTGAGCTCATTTCTGGGCTCTCTGCTCTGTTTTATTGGTCAGTGTTTCTATTTATATGCCAGTGCACCATGCCATTTTAATCATCATGTAGCTCTGTAATATAGTTTGAAATTAGGTAATATGATGCCTCTAGCTTTATTTTTGCTCAAGATTGCCTTGGCTATTCAGAGGTTTTGGTAGTTCCATATGAATTTTAAGATTATATTTTCTATTTCTGTGAAAAATGACCTTGGAATTTTGGTGGAGACCGCATTAAATCTGCAGGCTGGTTTTGGTAGTATGGACCTTTTAATGATATTCTTTGAATTCATGAACACAGAATATCTTTCCATTTATTTGTGTCTTTGTTGATTTCTTTCATTAATATTTTATAGTTTTCAGTGTATAGATCTTTTACTTCCTTGTTTAAACAAAATGCATTTTGTCCCCATTTTCTTCATTTGTCCCAAGCTATTTTTTATTTCTCCTTGATCCATTGGTTGTTCAGGAGCATGTTGTTTAAGTTCCACAAATTTGTGAAATTTCCAAGATTTCTCATATTATTGATATCTAGTGTCATACCATTTTGATTAGAAAAGATACTTGATATTATTTCAATTCACTTTAATTTGTTCAGACTTGGTTTGTGGCCAAACATATATAACATGGAAGATTTAAATATATGCCTAACTGAGAAGTGAATGTTAATCTTCACGCCACTAATATTTTGTGTGTTTAGTCTCCGCAAAGGGGCTCATCTATCACTTCAGTGATCTAGGTTCTTCCTTCACTGCCTTTCCAAAGCCCCTGTTCAAAACTATAATCAGATATGAGTCACTTTACATTGACTGAAGCAAGTTTTGTGTATACTTGAGAAGACATATGTTCACTTGCTGTTGGATGGAATATTCTGTATGTATCTGCTAGGTTCATTTAGTTTAAAAAGTAGTTCCCGTCCAGTGTTTCCTTATTAATTTTCTGACTAGATGATCTGCCATTGTTGAAAATGAGGTATTAAAGTTCCTACTATTATTGAATTACAATTAATTTCTCTCTTTAGATGCTGATACTTGCTTTACATATTTAGGTGCTCTGATGTTAGGTACATATGTATTTACACTTGTTTTATCTTCTTAATAAAGTGACTCCGTTATCATTATTCAATGACCTTCTTTATCTCATTTTACAGTTCTTAACTTAATCTAGTCTCATAAAAAGTTTAACTATCCCTGTCTTCTTTTGGATTCTATTCGCACAGAATATCTTTTTCTATCCCTTCACTTTCAGTTTGTGTTTCCTTGAAGATGAAGCAAGTCTCTGGTAGGCAGTGGATAGTGGGTCCTTCATAATTTCTTATGCTTGATCAAAAGTACAGTGTTAACTTGGTGCTACTTTCAAGTACTATCTCAAGAATTTTAATCTACTCAGTTGAAATGATATCCTTGAGGAGTAAAAAATAACATTAAAAAACAAGTTACATAAGCATGTGTCAACATAATTAAAAGAAAGTAAGTGATCTATTAGACAAAGTTTTGATATATACATATATATTATCAGATATAATTGTGGACTGAAAGCTTGAATTTAATTTATCAGAATACAAACTTGCTTGACTATTGCTACAGCTCAGTTTTCCCAATTATACCAAAGCCTTTAGTGGGAGATTTTAAATTGATAAAGTGCAATAGTGAGTTATGAAGAAATTTAAGCGTTGTTATAACATAATGGTAGTCAGTATGGAGAAGTTGAAGGCAGAAGAATCAAACATACGCAAAACTGAGAAGTGAATGTTAATCTTCATGCTGCTAATCTTTTGTGTGTGTACTTTCCCCTCCACAAAGTGGCTCATCTATTACTTCAACGATCTAAGAGTTCTTCTATCACTGCCTTCCCTTCCCTATTCAAAACTGTAATCAGATATGAGTCACTTTACATTGAGTGCAACAATTTTAATCAATGTTCCATGTCAAGTAGACATTTACATTTTAAACTTTATCTAATTTGGAAAGAAATACACCAGTCTTTTAAAATAAATTTCAAATACCAAGAAGCCATGTTGATGATTACTCTTTATTTACTTATTTATTAATTTGAGACACGATCTCACTCTGTTGCCCAGGCTGGATGGAGTGCAGTGGTGTGATCTCAGCCCACTGCAAACTGCCTCCTGGGTTCAAGCAAATCTCCTGCCTCGGCCTCCTAAGTAGCTTAGATTACAGGTGCCTGCCACCACGTCCAGGTAATTTTTGTATTGTTAGTAGAGATGGGGTTTCACCATGTTGGCCAGGCTGGTCTTGAACTACTGACCTCAAGTGATTCACCTGCCTTGGCCTCCTAAAGTACTGAGATTACAGGCATGAGCCACCACACCCAACCGATGATTACTCTTTAAATGGCAGGGGATTCTGTAACCCTACTACATATAAGGTTCATCTTGAAGGTAAACTTGATTTATTCTTTTTACT